AGCTTAATTGAAATTATTCTCAATTATAAGTAGCTAAAAAAAAGTTTTGCAGATTATTCAAGCCGATGGTTAGATCGTAAGAATACATACAGACTTGACCTTAACAAAAATTACCATACAAAAAATATATTATCCTCACCCAAAGTAATAATAACAATAATATTTCGGACATCTGATACACAGCGCCATCTAGTTTCAAACTGAGCAGAGCTTGTATTCTGTAAACTAGAACTATAGACTAATAGAATACATATGAAACACCCAAACTCCGAAACAAATATTTACAGATTATAACAAACAAACACCCGGGAATCGAGCCCGAGACCTCATCACAGCAGTCGCATACGCTACCGGCACTACTGAGGCAGTCAGGTTAAAGTGTAGGGAAGGTAACCAGATGTAAAAAAATAAAAATATTCTCGGCATCTTTAATATTGATATGTACTAACAGTTTTTGGAAAATGTACTAACAATCTCTAAGTTAAGCCTTGGACAGACACACGATTATGGTGAAACTATATAGGATTTCTTGTTAGTACTAGGGAACTCTTCCAGGGTGGGAAACCAGTCACTAAATTTTATTAAACTTGTTCAACTAATATAAATTAAGTAAAGAAACTATATATGTATTTCTATTGTACTATATACTACGGTAGTAAGCTTCTTCTTGGAGAGCGTCATCTCTACATGTCCCTTCGACTTACGGATTATCTGTCAAATATTTTCATTTAATGTTGCCAACTAAGTAAAAGTTAAAAAAATCAATTTGGAAACAAAAATTTCAAATTCTTTAATAGTTTTAGACAGCAATTTATAACTTTTCAGAAATTTTCTCTTCAACGCTCTCTCTGAATAACTACGGCCTAAATTCTTTTTTAAAAGTAATTCTGTATGATTATGATTAAGTAATAAAATAAAGTTTCAAAGTTAGATAAAACACTTTTCCTGCGGGATTATAAAATAATAATAATTCAAAAGCGTTTTTATTATAACTAATCGTTACAAGAACTACTGATCTAGACAATTACTGTAAAAACACTCTAACGTATTGGTCTAAAGTACATATTACTCTGCACCTGCAACCTTTGGGTGTATTTATTACGTATTGGTGTAACGTGTTGGCTCTATCAATATTGAACTGTGTGATTGCGATTGATTTAAAGCTGGATGTGCTAATTATATTATTATAAATGCCTTACTAAAGTTATTAATAAAGCACTAGTGCATAATTAGTTTAAAATAAACAAATAATTGATGACTGCACGGATGGCGTGGTTTGACGACCGAATGGCGTAGTGGTTTGTGTAACGGACTGCTATTCCAAAGGTCGCGGGTTCGATTCCCGCTCAAGTCAAACATTTGTGTGCATGAACATTTAATGTTTGATTTGGTCTGGGTGTTTCTATGTATAATAAGTATGTATTTACAAAAAGAGAGAGAAGGAAAACTTGACACAAACCCTATACCAACCCGTCTGGCCAGCGTGGTATAGTGGGCCAAAACCTCCTTTCTAAGGAGAGGCTTATGTCCGGCAGTGGACTATTAAAGGCTGTTGATGATTTACAAAAAAGTTTATAGTGTTTAAGCGGTCGCCAGCCGCGTGAGCTGTATGGAGACGGCTTAAACTACTAACCTATGCATGCAAGCACCTGCGCTGAGTGTTGTGGGTTCGATCCCCACATAAGAAACCACTTTGTGTGATCCACAAATTGTTGTTCTGAGTCTGGGTGTTCTTTGTGTCCGTTTCATGTATGTTTGTAAACTTCCCCGCGTCACGGGATACATATTCCAAATGTGGAAGTAGCCTTTAAAAAAAAAAGTTTAAAGGTCGTATCAGTCGAGAACCTCATTTCTCAACCGATACGACCTTTTAACAATGAATGAAATGAATGATAATGATTCTTTTCTATAGTCTTTCTTTGATCTTATCTCTTTTTAAAAGGAATTTGAATTTCTTTTGTAAACACTCAGATATTTGGTTGCAAGAGATGGTAGAGCGTCTTTATAAATCAAACAAAATTACAAATACAAATTGTCAGTTACTTTAAAATGCACATCGTCAATAAATCGACTTGTGGGTTTCCCGATCGATTGCGTTCCGAATATCTAATCGGGTTTAACTGTGTACTCTTGTGGGTACACATAATCCAGTAAATGCTATGCTATGATCAACTTGTGAAATTTTCACATTTTGCACCTTATAATGCTTGATACATGGCTATACCGACTACTCAAGATAAATGTATAAAGTCAAACCAATTCGGCAAGTAGTAGTAGAGTGCACGATTGAAGCCAAATACCTGGAGTCACCGAGACTCCAGGTATTTACAGGCTTCAATCGTGCACTCCAGAATTAAATATAACTCAAAAACCCATACTCGTTAATATAAATATTTTTCAAAAATTAGAATGTTCTCAATCCGGCTTATTGAAGTGAAAACTTACTTACGTATTTTGTGAGATGGAAAAAACCATTAAACTCGCGACACTGTTACCGTTACCGACACCTCTGTATATAAGTATCTACATGTATTGGCCCCGTTTACAGGAGAGTTGAGTTTCGGGTTGAAACACATTAAAAACAAAACGAACAATATAACTATATACAATATAAACATATATTGTGTATATACGCACAACATAGAATTATGTCGGAACTTTTCGAATTGAAAAAAAAACAAATTTTTTTCATGTTATAACAATTTAATATTTATATACAAATTTAAATTTTCAAGTTTTCCCTTCTGTCGGCCCTCCCGGAGTGCCACTGTTTTTTTTTATGTTAGTTACCGCAGAACTTCGTCGTATAAAAACCGATTATTATGCATTTTTAATTTTTTATTATTTCAGCCGGGATACTTGCAGTTTGGTCCTATTCAAATTTCAAATATAGAATACCATCCTAAATTTGAAAAATAACTGAAAAATTATTACAATTTATAACAACTCACCATGATGTAGGTGCATTGAAGTAGTTGATACTTTTTTTATGGTATAAGGAGGCAAACAAGTAGACGAGTCACCGTATTTTGAGTAACAACGACTCTCCATGGACACCTGAGTCACGTATTGCCACCCTTAAAGTCCCACCCCCCCTTCTTTCTTTTTCTTTCTGTGTAACCACCAGTGGTTACACAGAATTTGACAGAATTATGTCTATTTTTATGAGTCCCTCCCCCTAGAATTAGAGAAGGGAGGGTCTGGCCTCCGGTAACCTCACTCTCGAATAAAAGTAAACTCAAGAATCCTTTAACACCGGTTTTCTGTGATGACATGTTAATATAATTTTCACTATAGCTGTCGCATATTTATCAGTGTGACACTCACTTCCTCTACTTGCGTGCTAGTTACGTAGAACTAGTTCACGTGTTCAACTTGGTATCTGAGGTTGGCCATTGTGGTATTACCAATTGATTCCTGTGGGGACCGTCATTGAATTGAAATTAGAAGCGACTAGGGCGTCTATCAGTTTGATGGAAATATTCCTATTCAGGTATCCATTTGCTACAAATGAAGTGAATTGTATTTTGAGTTTATTACCACTGTGCGCTTTTCAAGAAACTTTTTGCCTTGCACTACCAATCTGTGCAACAAGTTATCGGCTGCGATATTTCCAGACCGATACGACCTTCAAACCTTCAAGAAAAGAGCGTACTCCTTCCTAAAAGGCTGGCAACGCGCTTGTGACTCCTGAGTTGCAGGCGATCATGGGCAGCGGTAGTCGCTTTCCATCTGGTGGCCCGTCTGCTCGTTGGCCCCCAATTGCATTAAAAAATATTATTATTAATAATAATAACTTTTGTTGTTCTCCCTCAACGACAGTCACATCAAAAAAAGTTACAAAGAGTTTACCGGTGAGTGATATACGAACCCAGCGCATGAATCGTGTCCCTCGCAGGGAGGCGCGCGGAGGGCGCGGTGTGACCGGCGGTTAAGTTTAACCAACATCGTTCTGTTTCATATCATATTATATTGTTATACAGTCCACCTATGTTTACTTTAACCGAAGAAGAAGCCTAAACATACTATATACTACTGGAATAGGGTCGTCTACCAATTAGTGGTACTAATGAGAAGTTAAATACGTTAGAATTTTTTGATGAATTTTAGAAAAAATACTATTAAATTAAAATCAAGACAACTCTACATAATTCTAAAAGACATGAAATTAACAAAGCCTTAAACACTCCGTCACAGTTATAAAACTATAGATTGACACTCGCAGTCCCTCATTGAATGAATAATTCAATTGGTTTAAAGCAAAGAACTCGCTCGCGAAAATGAATCGCCGTCAATTAAAAAGTATCCATTTTGAATATAGAACAGTACCTTTTTCAAAATTAGAACTTGGACCAATTTTGAATTTAGAATCTTGAAGATATGCGTTCCGTGATTTAAATTTGGGCTGGATTGTTATAAATTACTTTATTGTTTAACTCCGTTTAATTTACTCCGTTGTACGCAAATTTTGACGAAGTGATTTCTAATGGTATTTAAATACAATTATGTAAATATTACAAGCTCTATACTAGATTTGCCTTATGGTTTTACTCAGTGGATAATCAGTAGCTCGTAATTTCTCAGCTTCCCGTAATTTCATCATCATCAACAGTCTTTAATAGTTCACTGCTGGACATGGGCCTCTCCATAGAAAGGACGTTTTGGCCTACCATATCACGCTGGCCAGACGAGTTGGTATAGGGTTTGTAGTTTTGCCATAGACATTATTTATGCTTTCGTTAATGATCTATTAAAGAACTCTCGTTGAACCTGTTTGTTAAATTTATTTTGATAATTCGAACTCTTTGGTATTTGTCAAAACTTCAAACAAAAAAAAACAAACGGAAATTTTGTGTGTCGCATGTCATCACCAATAAAAATGATAAAATAATTCCTTAACAAATTTGTTATATAAATCAACAAAAATTGAAAAAAAAAATGACCGTACATTACAAGATACAAAAGTTAATAAATTTTTAAAGTTGATCCGATTTAATAAGATGGGTAAACCAGCCTACATGTACACTGATTCGGAAACTGAAGAAACATCATGTAGTTCGGTTGCTTCGGAAAATTTTAAGAAGAGGAATAAATTTTCGTGGGTATTATAATATCAATTTTATTACCTATACACACAAAGTCGGATTTACAGAAACGGTGATAAATCAATACAGTTTTGACATTAGATTCTGTCCAAAGAAGGATGAAGAATAAAGGAGAAGGAAAAGTCCTTGCTCTTAATGACTTCCATGATTTGCGGTTTAATTTGTTTTGCTGTAAAGTACTACCAGAGTATTGTAGGTGCTTAGTGGCGTTTAGTCAGGAACCTCTTAAAAGAAGTTTGGCTGCATTCCATAATAGTTTTTTCGATTCAGTTTTTTTCAACACTATTTTCTTACCACACATATGTATGTATTTTTGGAACAGAATGCTATTTAATATTGCTCAGTGTATCTTAAACTTAGTATGTCTATAATTTCGTATAATTACGTCAAATTGTTGGTCAAATTTTAACCAGAAACGACTAGTACTTGCAACAGGCTAGGTTATTGTATCTCGCATACCACTACTTTTTTCTTTTTTTTTTTTTCCGTGCGAAAATCCCCTCGGATACCACCTATCGGTGGCATGTCGGACTCGAACCGACTAAAGCCGCACGCCGTCTCGGGTACTAATAGCCGGGGAACCAGGTATACCCTAGAAAGGAAGTCCCTGGTGCCCCGACATACCTCGGGTCATCTACAGACGAGTAGACGACCCCCCCGTGTGAGAACCCTTTGTTCCCTGTGCTCCCTGGACGCGAGCGCGCTTCGCAACGCGCTCGCCGCCACCCCGGCCTGCTTCTGCTAGGGTGACAGATGGCCTCACCTGTCACCCCCAGGCCTGCGCTTATGGAGGACGGAGGTCGTTCTGCGACCTCCGGCGCCTGAGTCGCCTGCGGTACCTAGCCCGTTCCCGGGCCTGGCGGGCCGGGAGAGTTCTAAACCTCTCCCGGTCCCGCTCCGCCGTCTCTTTCGCGAGCATAACTTGCTCGCAGAAGGAGACGGCAGAGTTCCACGCACTCTCGCTCCGCACGCTCCTTGCGGATCAGACACAGGTGATCCCCGAAACATCCTTTCCCAGTGATCACCTGCGTCAGTCGGTATGAAAGGGTCCCGTGACGCCTCTCGAGCCAATCCTCCATAACGGGTCTTACCGCCGCGATGACGGCGTGCCCGCGCATACCACTACCTGAAATTTATGCAGGTAAGTTGTACAGTAGGTATGATACCTACATACGTTCGAGAGCTTTCATAGCGGCCTTTAATAGTCCACTGCTGGATATAGGCCTCTCCTTAGAAAGGAGGTTTTGGCCTATTATACCACGCTGGCCAGACGGGTTGGTTAGTGTCAAGTTTTCCTTCTCTTTGCAGTTTTGTTGTCCTGCATAGTTTGCTCCCTTAGTCGGCTCTTACGACACCCACGGGATAAATGGGGGTGGTGACAAGCCGTATTCTTAATGTCACCACACGGACACCCACGGGATGAATGGGTAACTAATATTAATTGTCTTCGCTAGGTTCAGTACGTCAACATACATTGGTGAGTTGAACAGCTCATTTTGAGTAGGAAGGTTCTTCACTCCAACTTTAATACAAACAATCTTGATCCACTTCAGAGTAAACCTTGTCCACAGCATACTAAAGTACAATAATAGCAACGTGAAGAAAAAGAAATGTAAAATCCATAGCAAGTCTGAACCCGAGGATTCAGATTATAGAAGCAGGAGCCGCAGCAGAGTCAGATACAGGCTGCCAGGCATACTGAAGCATAGTGAAGTCAGGGATTGTAAGCAAAAGATTTTTTAAAATTAGAAGCATGGTAGTTTTAAAAAAAAATAAATTGGCAGTATTGATATGGTTTGGTGTTGCTTCTTTTAACTCAAAAAGCACGGTTTGGTATGTATGCGTGTGTATTTGTGTTTCTGTGTTTGCGATATATATACTTTTACATTGCGGTAGTTGATGCCGATCGATATATAAAGTGTGAATAAGTCACATGTATATTTTGGTGCTTCTTGACTCGTTTACTCAGCTAGTAAACCCAAGGTGGGCTTTTCATAAGGAGTAAGGAAAGAGTCCAGTCGCGATGGTGTCTTGTCTGACACTTGTGTTCCTTCAAGAAGTATCCCCGTCGGATTCAAAACTGTAGAGCATCCCTCAAATACAAACATCTTAAATAATAATAACCTTATACATATCACACACGGCAGTCTGATCTTAAACTTGGCAGAGTCTGTGCTGTGGTAATCAAACTGATGATAAATATACTTAGGTATATATTCCGAAATACATACATACCATAGATAAATAACACCCAGACACCGAACAAGATTATGATCGTGTTCATCATTGTGGAATCGAGCCCACGACCTCCGGCTTAGCAGTCAGGGTCACTAACCACCAGACCAACAGGCCTTGTCAACGTAACTAATGTGTTAAACGCAACCATAAGCATAAAGAAATATATTTCTAGTCGAAGGCGATTTTCTGCAAAGTTTATATGTTCTAGCGTCCGACGACGAAGACGATAGCGAGCCAGTTGCCAAGCCCTACAGTCAGTCCAGGTATCTCGTGGGACGTGTGCCTCGTCCCGCTGGAGCAAAACCAGGCCGGGGTGGAGGTGTGGCTATCATCATCAAGAAGAATGTTGGTGTAAGTTACATTGGTGAACATTTTTGTATGTGCGAGGATTTTAGACTCTAATTCAAGTATAGGCTGGACACGCATATTAATAACAAGCTATGGCTAAGGCTAACAAACTAAGGGGGGAGGGAGGGAGGGGGGGGCAAACGAGCAGATTGGACCTGCAACTTAAGAGTCACAAATTCATGGGCAGCGGTAGTCACTTTCCATCGGGTGACTCGTCCGCTCGTTTGACCCCACTTCCATAAAAAAGTGCCTTGCCGCCACAAAAACTTGTTTCTTGTTTTTAAAAAGACAACTTCCGCATTGGGACTATATCCTGTGTCGCGGGGGACTTTACAAACATACAATAAACGGACAAAAAGAACACCCAGACTCAGAATAACAATTTGTAGATCACACAAATTATCGTTTCATGTGGGGATCGAACCCACAAGACTCAGGGTTGTAGGAAACGGCGCGGCGACCGCTTAAATCACTATGCCATCGGTGCAGTCAAATCAGGGGGGAGCAAGGGGTTTGAGCTATAGAAACACCGAATCAGTGAGACATTCGGTGAAACCTGAAAACACGATAGAATTGCGTGACACTATTTTTTAGCTTCTGCAATTCTGGTTATTCAGTGAGAGTGTTGATATTCTCGCACTTTTTCTATTCCTTACTCGCGTCTTATGTCCTTCGTGTCACCGAAGGCGTTCGTGTTATATCTAAGTTGTAAATTCTTACTACTTAACAGACAGGAATATATATGTTTAATTTTTTTGTGGAGTTTTAACTGCTTTTTCGGTGAACTGTGACACTGTGGGACACTTCGAGGACACTGTGACAATGTACCACAGGCTTGAAAGATGGTTTTTAACGATTTATTGCAACAACAATGTGCCCTACCGTAGTACAGTATTTAAAAAAATAACTTAAATTTAAATTAAGTTAAAATAGATTTTTCAAAGACACATTTATAAAAGACAGATTGAAAACAACATTAAGTCCTCGGTTGTTTGACGGGGGTCGCGTTCCACATTTACTTTTAATTAATTACTCTTGTGTCTGAACCTTTGCGTGGCTCTCCTTTCAAATGAAAGTTTCCACTACGAATGCGATTAAACCAAGAACGTACAGTACTCTTGTTAGTTGTATCCTCTTCCACTGAAGCATTAATTTAGGAAGCTCTCTCTATAAAGCGAAAACCTCGACAGATTTTAAATTCACGTCTTACTTTCAAGGTAACTTTATTGTCTTTAAAAATAGTATCAAATTTTAGATTGGTATAAAATAAGTTGAATTTGGAACGCTATTATTTATTAGTTATTTCCGATATTTCGCTTGCGTTTAGTTCCCTGCTGCGTTTATCGTTTTAGCGTGATGATACATGGGCTATCATCATCTTCTACAAAATACAAAAATATTTTTTAAATCCGACTCGTAGATTCAGAGATGAGGGCTTTTAAGCAAACGTGGTCATAATCATTAGCGCCAACGTTTATGATATCAGTGATACATAGCGATATAACAACACATTGAAAACATTGAATTGTCACGAATATAAAGGTAAATAATAGAATATATAGGTGGCGATATTCTGAATAAATTTGTATGAAAGATTTTTTCTATACACTCTTACTTAAATCCAGAATACAAAACAAATCAATGCAAATAGTTACGAGCCACAGCCGATTTGCTGTAGGAAACTTTTTATATCATATTTTTTATGATCCGTCAGTATATAGACTTCCTAAAAAGGTGTATAATGTCTAAAACCGTAAGGATTGCATAAAATGAATATTATTTTTCATATTTCCTAGGAATATTATAAATTTTCTAAACAGCAGTTGGAAATGTGCTAATTCTAAATGTCAATAAATAAATGTGTAGAGGGTAAATACATTATTAGCTCGTATATTGGCAAGAATATTTGAATTAAATTAATAAAAAAATATGGTTAAGATTTCAACTATCCTGGTTTAATTATTAGACCATCATTGCCAAACCCAGTCTGTTGACAGGTCACACTTATAAAACTATGAAAATGCCTAGTTAAACTGTTTCTATACCAAGTGCTCAGAGGACATAACAACATAAAATTTAGAACATTTAATTGCCATGTCCCAAGCTAGTTGCTGTACTGAACCCCATCTGCGTACTATCTACGAGTATTAAGCCGCAAGCTCTGAGGAGTAATAAAACGAATGCAGCTAAACCGTATCGTCGGGTGTCTAACACAGACGCTCCTGTGCCCCCGGGCTTTGAAGCGTTAGGTTTTACAACTAGTGGTATATCGCGGACATAGTACGATATAGTTTAGAAGACTCCGTGAAAGAAGCATCATTTACGGTTAATTTATGTACCTACCTATACCCTATTTTATACAGCATGAGTTGAGTTAGGTGTAGTTTTTAACATTACTAGTCTTTGAAATCCATTTGATTTAAAAAGTATATGTGTATGTGATAATATACTTTTCTAACAGTGAAAGAATTTTCAAAATCTGATCAGTAGCACCGGAGATCACCCCGAACATACAAACTCACAAACTTTACATTACCTTTAAAATATTAGTAGAGATTAGTATGAAATGTTTGTAAAATTCAAGTGATTGCGGGTTCGAACTACCACCTAATGTAATCACGACGTGTATACATTAGGTGGCAGTTCTTGCCTTCCTTATTGCATTTTAAAAATCATAAGAATAACATTATGTTGACTGAATTCATACATAATCTTTAATATGGCAGTTGCAATACTTAGGTTATTTTATTTTCAATTGATGTTTGTTGAAGGAAAAATTTAAAATTGTAATTAAGTGAAGGCCTATTTCGTTAACATAGCATCAAGCCCGGTAGATCCTGAGCTTAACCTGCGTTCTTAAAAGTCGAGGGTTCAGTCCTGACTTGTCCATCCCAACTTTTTGTGTTAATTTTTATCGTTTTTATTATAAAGTATACAGTTATTTCGTGATATCTGCCGTCAGACTCGTTAGCTCAGTAGTTTAGAGCGCTGTTCGGTGTAGTCCCGCTCACCGTTCTATGTTGTTTGGAAATGGTCTTTCACGGTTGGTCTGGAGATCGTTTCGCTCTCGGGGCCGGGACACACCGACAGAGGGCGGAGGTGCAAATCCTTCACGAGTCAGTATTATTTTATCAATGCTAGATCCTATGTAGAAAAAACTCCTAGGACACTTTTTTAACATGTTTTTTGCTGATGATTTGGTTAAAAGAAAATTATTGTGAAGTGTACCTACCTAAGTCTAACCTTGTGGGGTTGTAATAATTATCGTTAAGTTTGTGTCTGGGTATCATTCATTTATAATATGTATGTATTGAGAAATACGAGTATACAGGCTCTGCCTAGTCGGGATCAGACAAGTGATATGTTAAGTAGTACTTCAGTTGAAAAAAATTGGAATGGATATTTAAGAGGAGGGGATATCCTCGAGGAAAGCATCATGCAGTATTAATCCTTACACATTATAAAATAAAGCCCCCCGGCCGCGTCTGCCTGTCTGTATGAACGCGATAAACTACCGAATGGATTTTTGTACAGTTTTCACCAGCTGTATTTCCTGAGGTAGGTTTAGGTGTATGATTCATGATGTTTTTATGTAAATTGACTGAAATATAACGGTTATTGTTGAAGAGGTTGCAAAAATCTTATGCTATATAAACTGGGCGAGAAAAGGATCACTGTTAAAATCCTAGTCATACGTCGCGTACTAAATAAATTACAAATATATAGTAACAACGTTTTAAAGAATAAACAAAGCGTTTTTTTTCTTTGTGTCAGTAGCTTTGACGGATGGTGTCATATCACTTAACCATCACTTAAATATCCTCTTTACTGTATGTAATAGACAACTGAACTTTCTTATTCAATTTTTTTTATTTCTATAAGTGTAATTAGTTTCCTTTGTATTAAAATTTAATCTGAAAATATATATTATGACTATTTGAGACTAAACGTTTCTCTAGAAGTCTATAAGATATATTCTATGAAAGCTTTTCCCCCGCGGCTCCGCCCGCGTGTATCGTAAAAGTAGCATATGCTACTCGCTGGTAATGTAGCTTTCCATAATTAGTAAAATATTTTTTAAAACCGATTTAGTGGTAAAGGCAGCGTAAAAAACAAACTAACTTTCTCTTTTTTTAATGTAATTTAAGTATGGATTTATTTATTTCACAAAAACTTAAAAATGTATTCATTCTTGATCTGCTAAATTACTAGTATGCGTTTTTGATTGAGTGAATAAGGTGAAGCCTGTATCTATATTACTATCTATATTATTATTTTACAGTAAGTTAGGATGAACTGAGAGCAATTTATTCCTACAGGGTACTAAATAAAAATACCTGATAGACCAATGTTATCGGGATTCAGAGATAACACTAAAGACTATAATCTGTACCCTCAGAATTGATAGTTTTACGAAAATGCCAGAGGTTATGAGCCTCTGGAGACTCTTAAAATGGACTTATAGTGGTGTAGCAAGAAACTAAACAATCGATTGAAGTTAATACTACTGCGCTGATGGCGTAGTGGTCTTACTACGCTGAGTGTTGTGGGTCAGATCCCCACATGGGACGACACTTTGTGTGATCCATAAATTGTTGTTCTAAGTCTGGGTGTTCTTTGTGTCCTTTTTATGTATGTATGTTTGTATAGTCCCCCTCGACACAGGATGTATTCCTAATGCAGGAGTTCTCTATAAAAAAAAGAAACTACATGGACAATATAAGTTAATATAAAACGAACATGAAGTTAAGCAGCAATATTACCGTTTATACTAATCTATCGACATTTACGAGGTATTGGACCATTTTTTCATACTATTGGAATCCTTGGAGGCGACCCTACATAATGCTCAATGACAAGGGTTGCCCCAGAGGGCATTTGCAAATAATTCAGTTTTATTATAACAAATAACAATTGATTTTTCGAGTTTATTTTCATGTGGCAACACTGATCATTGGTGTCACTTGCAAAGTTAACGTTTTGAAAAACTGTAAAGGGTTATAAATTGTAAAAGAAGTGTAAGTGGAAACAGTTCTTACACATCAGTGGCAAAATTTTAATCACATTCGGTCCTCGACTACATGAATGGCGAGGTGGTTTAACCACTCATCTCTCCGTTTCCTACTGCGCTGAGTGTTGGTGGTTCGATGCCCAGGCCAACACTTTGTGTGATCCACAAATTGTTGTGCTGAGTTTGGATATTCTTTGTATCCAATTCATGAATGTTTGCAAAGTCCGCCGTGACACATGATATATTCATAGTGGGAGAATATTCTTTAAAAAAATTAAGATTTGAAATTTTAAGGTTTTGAAAGAAGACATAGGCTTCATTCAGAAAATAAATTTCAAAAGAGAATAAAAAATTACTATTTCGCTAGTGAATTGCAGGCAAAAGCTAGTCCGTAATAATAGTAACTTGTGAAGGATTTGCCCATCCATCCTCTGTCGGTGTGTCTCGATCCCGAGAGCGCAACGTCTCCAGATCAACTGTGAAAAACCATTTCCAAACGGAAAAGTGAGTGGGAATAAACCGAACAGCGCTCTAAACGACAGAAAACATGACATGACCATGCAATACTCGTATATAACAAAAAACATAAAAATGAACACAAAAAGTTAGGCAGCGAGACAAGTATTGAACTCTCGATCGTTAAGATGTACACTTCATGCAGAATGATCTGGCAGGCTTTTTACTTTCCTTTTCATGAAACTATTGAAATAACTGGTCATAATATAATCATTATTAGTTTGATTTTCAATTCTAGAAGATATGATAACTAGACTGTGTAATATAAAACCTGATACTTACTTTTAATAAATAGTAAAGATGTTTATGTGATATTATTTATTTACCATTTAAAAGCTATAGGTACAAATAACATTATTGGTTTTCGGTACTTACAGTTACCACTAAGGATTATACGGTAGTACCGTTAGTTCATATCCAGGAAATAGTCAATACAAAAAGTGTTTAAGTGCTACATTTCGATGTATACAAAAGACCTTTACTTATGGTTGTATAGTTTATTTAGAAAATAAGACATGAGTTTATTTTTAACATTATTCGGTAACTTATTTTTCTGTGGTTAATGTGTGTAACCAATTTTGCTATAGCAGGCTTTTATATATATATTCTTTTATGTTTTAGGTTACCCGTCTGCTCGTCTGCCCCTATAACATAAAAAAAATCCCATGAGCATAGAACGGGTGTTTTATGCTTATGGGAATGTATGTATGTCTCAGGAAAATAGGTTAGATAAAAAAATTCATACAATATTGTATTTTTTTTACGCAGAGTGTACCAACAGCCCCCGTGCCGCAGATTTCGAGTACACATACTAAAAAGAAAAGTTGGTGCCGACGTCTTTCAAAGAAAAGGTCTTATTAAGTGAATACTTTCGTCTATGGTCCTACCATAGGTAAGAATTAAGAATATGTTGGACAAGGGATTCAACCCTTACTGAAGTTGGTTAAAAGAAAGGTCTGATTGAGGGCGTTTAAACTCTAATTTAATATTTTTATTTCATAAAAATTTCAAATACGTAAACTCGTACGTTGTATGTTTCATATATTACTAAAATTATTAGACACATAGTCACGGCAACAACAAATTTAATTATTTTTTAAATTTCAAAAATGCTGAAAACAGACAATACTTTGTTTTCCTGTGTCAATTTATAACTACCTATTTCCAGATATTTAAGCCTTGTGTGAAGAAATTAAGCAACCAAATTGACTGCCTCTCTTTTTCATTACCAGATAACTGTAGTAGTATATCCATATTTATATATTTTATATGAAATTATATTATTTTTACTTTTCATTTGATTTATGCTCCTACACGGACTCATTTTGCATACATGAACAAAATTACATACACGCATACACACACGTACACATACACAAACGCAAGCATGCAATTATATTTAAGACAATAATTTATCAATAGTATCATACTTTGTTCTGTTATTGCAAGACACTCGTAAGTGAAGTAAAGACATAAAAATTGTCACTTGTATTTTGGTTGATGGTGGAAACCTTTTTTCTTTCTTCTTTCTTACATAGGTTATCTTCGAATTTTTCGCGATATGAAATGAATTAAATTTCACATGATACTGTGTTATTAGTTTTCCAGGAATCGAGAAGATTCACTCAGAAAGAGAGTCCGAAGGAGGGCTCTTACACCGAGAGTAAAGAGAAAATGGTACTGGACCGGTCTCAATGTTACGTACGTAATAAAATAAAATGTTTGCAACTGATGTTACTTTTTAATTTAAATATATTTTTTATGAATAGGGGACAAATAATTAGACGGATCATCTGATGGTAAACGAATTTCAATGCCACGTCTATGGACATCTGCGACTTTAGTCATAAGTGCGAATGAAAATTTCCTTTTGTCTTTTGTGTTTCTGGTAACGGGTAACCTCAAAACTATAATATCTACGAAGTTAAAAAAAATATCCCGGACACCAGCTTCAACCCAGGCTACAGCACCTGAGTTAGTGAGCTGATAATCTTGACATATTATAGCAAAAAACCATCTCGATCACGTCAGTTTTGGCACTACTAGAACCGCATTATAATCGGTACTCGTATACGACTTACAATGCGACAAGCAGACACACAGACACATTAAACTTCACACCTCTCTTTTTGCATCGGGTCTTAATTCATAATTAAAGTATAAGTTCGATATATAACTTAGCTACTAGTATGAATAGTTCAAGAGAGGAATGGAATTTCGTTTCAATGGATATGTCTTCAACCTCAAGTCCACCTGTCTTGACCCAGTTGTCAAACACGAGCCTCTTGAGGTGTTGGTCGAGGTTCTTGGCAAACTGCCCGTTGAGGACACTTCTATACACACAACGATTATTGAATCCGTAGACATATCCAATAATCTGTTGTTCTATAAATCCTTAGGATACTTGAAGTAAATATTATTAATAAAAATAATTTCATACATCTCACACTCAGCTGTTTGATCCCAAACTAGGCAGAGCCTGTACTATGGTAACCAGTGTGGTTAATTTTTACCGCGATAACAGACATACACGCGGGCGGAGCCGCGATTAATGGCTAGTACTGATATATTTTTAAATACACACCCATCATAGATAAATTACACCCAGATACAGTACAAATGATCGTGCTCATCACACAAGTTATGTTCTGGGTGGGAATCAAGTCCACAACCTCCGGCTTAGCAGTTAGAGCCACTAACCACTAGACCAACAGGCGCGTTATATTGATTCTTTAAATGACAAAAGAGTAATGGATACATACTGTTATTTTGATGCACATATGCACATATGTCTCCGTGTGATGACGGATTAAGAATACAGAGTGTGACCACCCCTATTCTATTCATTCCGTGGGTATCCTGATCAGATTGACTGACAGACCGGTCAATGAAGGGGTAAACGAACAGACGAGTCATTTGATGGCAAGTGCATCGTCCATAGACACTTGCAAGTCACCAGTATCAGGAATGATCCGTAAAAAATAAGAACTGAGATAAATATTTTTTAAAGAAGTAATGGAGCAAATCAAGCATTAAAACTGAAAACAAGCCGGCTCACTGAGAGAGGTTCCGATCATAGGTCTTCAACTGAGTTAAAACCAGCTATACTTGGTAGTTAGCAACGTCAATAATTAAGAGATCGAAGAAGAATTAGATAAAGAGTCACGTATTATTATTATTTATATTCACGTGCGTATTCTAGTTCTAGGTTCTAGTTCGGACCTGGAAAAGCCCTTTTTCGTAGAGTAAAGAGACATCACAACCGTCATCTCCCTGAACTAATATTGTAAAGCTGGAGAGTTTGTTTGTTTTTTTATATGCTTGGTTTAACGCGTTAATATCAGGAATCCTAGTTTAAATTTAAAACTTCTTTAGTGTTGGATAGCCTATTTATCGAGGAAGGTAAAATGCTATATAACATCACGCTACGGCTAATAGGAGCCGAGTATCAATGAAAAATGTTGAAAAAATAAAACTTTTTACTGCCGTACTTCGTCGTTCGTATTTAATATACATTATCAATGGCGATACCTACTGTTTCAGTCTGTATGTACAATCATTTCATCCTTGTCCGTGTGCTGACTGATTAAGAATAAAGAGTGTCACTATCCCTATTCATGCCGTGGGTGTCGTAAGAGGCGAATAAGGGAGCAAACTACGCAGGAAAACAGCACTGCAGAGAGACGCAAAGCCTGAAACAAACCCGATATCAACCCGTCAGGCCACCGTGGTATAGCTCAAAACCTCCTTCCTACGGAGAGGTCTATGTCCAAAGTGGACTATTAAAGTAAACATATTTGTTCCTTCTGTATGCTAAAGAGGCTGAACACTGGGTAATTTTAAAACTAATGAAATATATCTTATATCATAGATACAAAAATCACACATAAATCGAAAAAAAAATGAAGTAGCTGAAATGTTTAGAATCCAATCCGATTTTCTTTCATTCCACGATACATAAAATGGTTCGTAAAAAGTTAAATAAAGTAAAATTTTACACGAGAATATTTCATATTTGAAGGTACTTTATGGTAAGCAAGGGAATACGGGGTTTGATTGAATTCGTGCCTAAGGTGAAGAACAAGGTTCTGTATTGTTTTTTTCTGCCAATCGCATGGGCCATTGACATCGCATTGAAAAAAAGAATTGCGGACACTCGGTTGGTAAAAAGTACCACCGGTTTCCTGTGTAGCCAATTCACTCCCGTCGTGTAGGCCCTTTATGGCTCTTCATAATTATTGTTATTATGTAAGGATATAATTAATGTGCCTTTAAAGGACAATGCTCCGTGAGGATTCATCTCCATAGTCCACTGGGTTCAAGTTTAAATACATTAAATACAAGTCCCGCGTCATAAATTTATCGATACCTTATTTTTAACCTTAGTACTATACATAATGCATACTGGTGCATTAGCGGACTTAATTCCTAAGGCATTTTCTACTAGTCAATCATATATCTACACAAATATTACAAATCTTAAGAATGTTTTGTTCATTAGTTAAACGCTATAATCTCGAAATACCAATTAGTTTTCAATGATTATTTTTTGTATTAAATAGAGTATATTCTGAGGAATAATATAGGCTTAAAATCACGCTACAACAGCAAAAAGCGGAGCAGTGACTACAAACGCAAGCGGAAATGCGTAAACAGGCTATTCAGTAAATGAAATCGTGAACAATTAATTTTTACAAGTAAAGTTACTTGTAATCGTTCACAGGGATCTTGACTGTTTGACGTAGTTTCGTGAATATCATACCTCCACTTACTTAAATGATGGAGTATTCAATTTAACAGGGTCTCAAGGAATTTATTTTTAATATATTATTACTGTTATAAACTATTCTTATTATCATAATCGTTTGGATGAATGTTTGTAACTCAATTACGCCAGAATTGCTAGATTGATCTAGATGAAATTTGCTACAGAGACAGATCGATACTTATAGTGTAATTTGAAAGTGAGTTTGTTTGTTTGTTACACTTTCACGCCTAAATATTTTTTTTTCGAAATATAAATAGATTTATTCCTCACATTCCAAACCAGGTTATTCATGTATGCAATGAACATAGGTTTGATAAATAAATTGTAGGATTAAAAAGTGATAAAGGTTGTTCAATCCATCCCCTCTCTTTATCAATAGACCATCGTTAGGTACCAAGCCCAATAGAACTGGTCAAATCAAATCATTTGAGCCAGAAGCTGAGGGGTTCTCTTCACATTGGTCATTGAACAATTCTTTAATCTACTTCCTGGTTTCTTCACCAGATTCTTTACGGTCTTTGTTTGTGTGTGCGTGTGCGTTGCAAAACATATGTTTTTTCCTTTTCTTTCTTTCCTTAAAAGTAGAATAAAAGCAAACTGGTTAAGTAAGATTATAAATGGTTCCTACAATTTCATGTAAATGGATGCAAATTAAGGATTTTCGTATAAACTCGTTCTTCTTGATACAGGGTGAGGCAAAGTATCGTAAAATTTTATTAAAGAAAAACATGTGCACTCACAGCTGACTGTGAGCTCTCTAATATCTAGCGAGAGGTTTACACAACATCGTGTAACAAATGAGTCTATTTTCTTTATTCATTTTAATTAACAAAGGAACATCTTTTCCTATAACATTTAATTTAATTTTCTCACAGGCGATCTTGGAGTTACCCCTTGTTTTTCCATATTCTTACTTAGGTATTGTACAAAAAGACTAAGGTAGAGCCACTCATTCTATCACATCGCACATCAACAGCCTTTAATAGTGCACTGTTGGACATAAGCCTCTCCTTAGAAAGGAGGTTCTGGCCTACTATAAGACGCTGGCCAGACGGGTTGGTATAGGGTTTGTGTCAAGTTTTCCTTCTCTCTA